TTATTTTTTATTTTTTTTTTTAATGATGACATTCCGTTAGTGATAATTGTACTAATAGTAATTATAATAATAATAACAATAACAATAATAATGATGATTCAAAGGAAAAAAAACTTATTTCTTTTTTTTTATTTATTTATTCATTTATTGGCGTTTTATTACTATCATCATTATTACTATTTATTATTATTATAACAATATTATTTAATTATTATTAATTTATTTATTTATTTTCAATGCGGTAGAAAAAAAAAAAAGAAAAACTAAATAACTCGATGACGTTTAAATAACAATCGTAACTACGGATTTAATTCTTTGATTAATTAATTTAAAATAATAATAATAATAATAATAATAATAATAATAATTGTAGTAATAATAATAATAATGGCAGACGCGTTTTTGTTTTCCATTTAAAAAAAAAATTATATTTTTAATACTTTGAAAAATCTTATGCATGTATAAGTGTGTATAAATCAACAAAAAAATCGTTTTATCAAAACAATTAACAAAAAAAAAATCGATTAAATATCGATCGATCGATCGAACGATCAATCGTATCGAAATATAAACAAAATAATACTTTTTTTTTTTTTTTTTTTTAAATAAATATTTTTATATGTAAGAAGAAGAAGAAGAAGGAGAAAAAAAAAGTTCTTAAACGGATCATCTCGTTCCGTTCAAGACACTTTTTTTCCCCCCCCTCCCCTCCCCATTTAAATTTCAATACAAATACATAACAACAACAACAATAATAATAACGATAAAAAAAATAATAAAATAAAATAAAACAAAAAAAAAAAAAAAATAAAATATAATAAAATAAAATATTAATAATAATAAATTTTCAACAATTTTTTTTAAACATTAGGTAACAACAAATAATTCGTTTTCGATAGAAAAAAAAATAAATTTATATAAAAAATGGTAATCATAATAATGGTAATGGTAATGATAATGATAATGATAATAATAATAATAATAATAATAATTTATAAATAAATAAATTTTCCCGAGCATTTTTCTTTTTTCTATGACTTATTCGTTAATAATTTACATAAAATTATTATTTTTTTTTTTTCAACGCAAAGTTTTTCAATAACTTTTTTTTTTTTTTTTTGAGCAACAACCCGATACATAAATATTATTATTATTATTATTATTATTATTATTATTATTATTATTATCACCGTTAAAATTCTACATAAGTATGGTAAATAATTATTATTTGAAATCTACAATTTTTTTTTTCCGAATCGTTCCCTTTGTTAAATTTTTTTTTCTTTTTTTGAAACAATGAATTTAAAAAAAAAAATATTTAATGATAATAATAATAATAATGATAATAATAATAATAATAATAATTTAAGGCTGGTTGTAATATCTATTTTATGAGTGTTTATATATATATATGTACCGATACATAATAATTTAAAAAAAAAAAAAAAAAAAAAACAATTTAAAAATAATTTCAAATTTAAATTGAATGAATCATTATTATTATTATTAATACTTTATTTATATCTTCTAATTATCATCATTATCATTATTATCATTTTTTTAAAATTACTAATAGCGAAATGACTAAAACTATTTTTTGTACAAAAAAAAAAAAAAAAAAAAAAACAACCAACAATTTTAAATAGAGCATCAAAAAAATTTTGAGTTTAAGGTATGAGAAAAGGGGGTGAGGGGTGGGGGCTGGCGGACAAAAAAAAATATATAATATATATTAAATAATAACAATAATAATAATAATAATAATAATAATAATAATAATAATAATAATGTGTATAGTTTTGACTCCCGTTTTAAATAATTAATAAATTTCTCTAATTTTATTATTATTATTATTATTTTTTTTTTCATTTATAAATTAATAAATAAATAATAAATAAATTTTTTTTTTTTTTTTCAGGTCCATTTTATTATATAAGGACATTGCCATTGACTAGATTCAAATTGTAATAAACCCGAGACTAACTGATGGTGCTCAAGATATATAAAAAAAAAAACAATAATAAGAAATAATAATAATAATAATAATAATTTTTTTTTTTTTTTTTTTTGCAGTTTTTCAAATGGGATATTATTATTATTATGACGATTCGTTAACCCATTTTTTTTTTATGCTTTGCACATACCCATAAAGGCACGGTAAGCAATTTTTTTCCCCCTTTTTTTTTTTTTGTAATTTAACTTTAAGTATG